CTTCTAGAGCTATAATAATAGATTTGCAGCATAATATCTGACTCAATAAAAGATTGTCCTTTTGAGATTCACATTTTATGGTCAATTTCATTAGAGATTTTCCCTATAATCACTCTGTGGCAGGACAGGATTAAGCCCAACTGATGCCCCAAGCACAGTCTCAAAATACTGCCCCTCTCTGAAAGGCATGGGATGGAAACAAATGTGATAAATGACAACAACGTCAAACCAAACTTTAAAACTTTAGTCATTCACCATGTCAAAAAAAATGTATAACAAAGCAAATTAAAATCAAATATGGAAAATAAGGATAATTCGTGTGGGTATCAGGAAGGGCATCCAGCCAGTAAATGCTTGAACTCTGTTCAGTCACACACACCCCGAACTCCATTCCAATGCAAGGGATTATAAGGTCAATAAAAGAAAATAAACAGAGAAAAAATGGAGGATTATTACAAAAAAAAATATGACTCAATACACATACACACACACACTGTATGTATCTTATAAGTAGCATTTTATCTTATAATAGCATTTTTACAGTGCTCTTAATCATTGTTCTTAGAGTTCATAAGCTGTAATTCTCTGCAATATTATTAATGTTATTAGGTTCTTTGTTACATTTTATCTTCAAAGTATTGGTACTATTAAAGGTTCTACTTGCAATTTTTCTAAAGTGTAAGGTTGGTATATATCCTATTAAATGGGACATAGTCTACATCACCGGTGTCAAACTCAATCACATCATGTGATGTATTGTGATGTTTTTTGCCTTTACGGAGCCGGGGTGGGTGTGGCCTGCATGTGACGCATCTGGCCCATGGGCTACCAGTTTGACAACTCTAGTCTACATCATACCAACCTTTTGGGAGAAGATTAATTTGTTTGACCTTTTGCATTTTTTCTCTCATAACAATGTTATTTTAAATTTGAATGGTGCATCCTTGTAATGACAGAGCAGTAATTGCTCAGCTTTATTCTTTTATGGTGACAGATATTGTATTCTAGCAAGAAGAACTGGAAGATAATTTGGAACCAAAACATTAAATATTTCATATAAGAACACAGAGGTTTAAAAGATGAGACTATCTGCAATGTTTAAATATTTTATGTTATTTACAGAAGGGAGAGCTTTCTGTCAATATCCCTCAAATTTTCAAATACTCCTTTAAAATCTTATATCAAGATATTCATTTTTTTTCCTCCTAACATTAAATGTAATAATTTACCCCAGGTACACATTGCACCACTGTGCTAAAAGGGTTAGTTGTGTTTTCTCAAGGATACATGATTTGTTGATGCTTTATTCATACAACAATTGTGAAGAGGCTGAAATTAATCCTCTTACAGGATTATTTTAAGGCCTTTTGATTTTGCCTGTTGTTGAGCATAGTGAGTGATAACAAGCTTCATTATGCATTGAAAGAGAAAGGCCAGCTGAGGGCAGTGTGCACCACATATGTTTTCTCCTTTTGCAATAGTGTGAGTAGCCCCTTCTCCTCAGAGTAAGAATCTTTCTTAAGTATTCTTTCTTTTGGGAGATGGGGGTGGAAGATGTCTAGAAAGAACAGTGTTTTTAGTGACAGCTGCAGCTGGTATGACAGAAGCTTTGCTGATTATGTCTACGCTACTCTTACTACTACTTCTATTCAGAGTTGCAGGATGTCGTGGCGTTTCAAAAGCTTGCTTAATCTAAGTCAAAATTGAGAAGAAAGTGGGTATGTACAACACAGGAATAGTTGCTGAAGATAAAAGAGCCTACAACATTGGTGGGGAAAGAGAAAAATAGATTAGCTGAGTTATCCATTCTCCCTTATGACTTAATATTCTGCATTGTGTTGAATAGAATACATAGATCAGTGATGGCGAACCTTTTAGAGACCGAGTGCCCAAATTGCAACCCAAAACCCACTTATGTATCGTCGGGTGTCGAGTGGGTGGGCCAATTGGGTGGGCGTGGCTGCGGTGGTAACCGCAGACTGGGTGGGATTAAAAAGTTCAATCAATCAATTCCAACTTTGCAAGATCTTTTTTTTTTCCTGCAAGAAGTTGAAATTGATTGATTGATTGATTGATTGCACCTTTTTTTTTTTGCACATGGCAGCGGAGGCCTAGAGCAAAAAGGCTTTATAAAACCCAGCTGAAGGCCTAGCACTGGGGTGACGATGGGCGTGCCCACAGAGAGGGCTCTGCATGCCACCTGTGGCACGCGTGCTATAGGTTCGCCACCACGGCACTAGATATTTATTATAATGAATCTGATTTTTGTTGTTAATGGATATTTTCTATGAAAAAAAAATCAATAAAAACAGATCAAACTACATACCTCATTATTTTCTACAATTTATGAAACAGAAAATCTTTATTATTAGTTCTCTCCAAATTCTTGGAAAGATCTGAAAATCATTTCTCAGCATAGGAATAAATAGCAAAATTCTATAACATATACAAGCCCAACTCAAAGTGTAAAACACTAAGCAGTCTTCTGGCTACAAGGCCATTAATCTGAGGAGATCTACACCTTATGCATTCTGGTGAGTCCTCCACAATGATCTTTCCTTCTCATATCCTGCACTGTTTTAGAAGACAAGGTGCTGTTTATTATTATGGGGTCACAACTATTGCTCATTGCTTTGCTGTTTCTATTTCTATCCAAATGGGAAGGAGGAATAGAAATAAGCTGCAGTGAATGAAGAGAACATTTCCAAAAAGATACAATTATTTAGAAAAAAAGCAAGCAACAGAGATTGCTGCTCTCACAATAAATTTGGAATCAATAGCATACATCCCTGAGAGCTTAACATTTGTTTAAGTATACTATCCTTACACCTCAGAGGATGGCTCTGAATTGTTTGCTCATTTAAAAAGACATTCAAGTTGGAGTCTAGTTACCAAGCGCAGTGAGGTATTTGTGTATGTCCAGATACACTTTCGGTACATCACATTAAAACTCAGATAATTCATTTGCAAATTGGGTAGCTTATTACATTAATGATCACAAAAAATGTTCTAAACTATGAAAATGATTTCAATTCAAGTTTAGCCAAGTGACTTATTTAAAACTCCAGTCAAGACAACGTAGTAGCAACATTGTTAGAGTTAAAAAAAGAAAAAAGAAAATAAAGTAGTATTTAAAAAGCAACCAAAGAACTTTTCAAGATTGGTTAGAACTTGCCTTAGAAATCAGAGAGAGAAAGATGAAAACACTTGCAGACATTAAACATATACATTATGCTACTATATTCTACCAGGATTGTTGGTCTAAATCACGGGTGTCAAACTCGCCACATCATGTGACATGTTGCGACGTGCCGTGACTTTTTTCACATTGCCGGAACTGGGGTGGGCATGGTCTCCGTAAGATGCAGCCAGCCCATGGGCCAGCAGTTTGACACCCCTGATCTAAATGAAAACTACTCACACAATGGCTGGCCCCAGGGCATACTTTTAATTTTATTTTACTGAAACAAAACAATTCTGCAATGTATCTCAAGTAAAATGTACTTGTTATAATGCATTATTAACTAAAATTGCTGCTAGACAGCAACTGGGCCGGTTCTTATTAGCAAATTAATAGCAAAAACAAGAGGACCAATTTCTTGTCCAAATGACTATTATTTCAGTCCAACTGGAAATCAAATACATAAAGCAGCATATTTCCATTGCCCTATTCATAGATGGAGTGAGAAATCTCATCAGAAACAGTGCTGCAAATATTGTTCACACTGCTGAACCAAACAGTCATTTATCCAAGTTACTGTATCTCTAATTGTAATTAGATTTTACATCCTTCATACCTGAGTTTTAACATACTTCCAAACTGACTTTAAAGATTCATTTTGAACCCAGAGTATCTCTAATACAGATCTTGACTTTTTCCTTCTCCCAAGAACACTGCTCTTCACTGACCAAAGAAGGATTGATACATATATTCTGTTTGCAACTTTGATTAGTAGTTTTATAAAAACAGGGCAACCACATTTTTAAAAAAATGACCACATGTCAAGGCAGGGTGGGGTGTTTCTACAATCAATTTGGAAACTAGAGATATAATGATATGTGTGCTCACCTAGGAATAGTGATTGTATTATAATGTCTTATAGTTAATTTACCTAGATCCACCACTACTCTAATGCTAGGAATTCATCATTTATTTCATATAACTATAATAAATTCAAACACATTCTGGCAAATAAGTTGTATTTTTAACTAGCAGTTGGTTCTCAAAAGATTGTTGGATGCTGAAATTACTAAAACAAAGCTACTTTTGGGAAGCCAAAGTGATTTTGGATTAAATCAGATGAAAGCCACACTGGCAGATATTTAGCAAAAAAAAAATAATAATAAATAAAATGTTCATTTTTAAAATGAAATAATATAAATATACATGGACATCTGCAGAGGAGGGCAAGTAGGGGTCAAATGAAGACCCAAGTATGATAATGTTATCATGCAAGTCATGTGACTTGCAAGGACACAATGTCATTATTTGCATGAGAAATCATGTATGTTTGATGTCATTTCCAAACACAGGATGCAGTTGGTGATGCCTTTCCTTTAATAAACACATTAAACAAGAGAAGGCTGTAATAGTTCTAATGGAAAACCTCTTCTGGTCTAAGAGTAGCCTCCAGTTTATTATCAATGTCTGAAAATTATCAATGTGCCTGAAAATGGTTCAGAAAGCTTAAATATTTCCATTCTATTACTCCACTGGTATTAGGGTTGACTACTTTACTCAGAGATTACACATGCCAAGACATCTTATTTAGCCAGGTCTTTTCTTGCTCTTATGAATAATTATGCATTACATTAATTACATAATACAGAGAAACAATGCAGTTTGCCTAACTATTAAAGAACTATTAAAGAACCTGAACTGGGGGAAAAAACTATTTGATCTGTAGATGAAGTCGAACTGTCCTCTGTAACAAAAATATGGACACATGTAGTAGACATGTGTAAATTCCCAAAGAAAACACCACAGCAGCGCTCACTACCTGAGAGGGAGACTTGGGGATGCCTCCCCCAGGAGCTTCCAGAGTGGATGGCTCTGGTTCATGGTTGACGGCCTTGATCTCAGGGCTAGTGATGGGAGTCCCATCAGGTGGAGATGAAGGAGTTTTGTTTACTTTGGTGCTGTCACTGTAAGAAAAAAGAAAAAAAAACAGAAAGCACTTCTCAGTTCTCATCTGAATAGGGTTTTTTTGTATTTCTTGGAATAGACTGAAATGCTTCTTTCACTTGCACTGTTTGGAATACCTCTACTGATATTACTTTAATTTATAGTAAAGTGCCTAACATCAAAAGAAGAGAAAAACAATGTAAAGTTGAAGCACTGCCAAAACCTAACTCCCAAAACATACAACATATAGCTAGTTTAAGGGATGAGCAGTGCTAGCAATGGAAACTCTTAGAATCAAATTACGTGATGCCTTACATGTGCATGTACCTCGGTTATGCCTCTAAATGCAGTAAACAACAACCACTGATGGACATAGGGAAATCCAGTATAATCCCCTCCCCAATAATAATTGGGATTATGTGTCACAGGAAGCTACCAAAGAGATTTTCTATCCCACATCAAACAACAGACAGGAAAGGGGTAGTGTTTGAATTGCAATATATGGGGGGGGGGGAAGAATTTTGATTTTGCTTTTTTAAATCAACATCTCTATTTCCTTCCATGTTCTGATCTAAATTGCAATACATGCAGTGCCAAAGTTTGTCTATCATATAGTTTTAGCTCTTAAACACCTCTTGGATATTCTCTTAAGATTTAAATAAGATGATTTTCATTATACATTAAAAATAAGAAGACCTCTGAGCTCCAAAGAAGTATAGAAATTTTAGTCTCCTAAGTAATTTTGTATATGTGTGTAATTCTGCAATGTTCTGTGTTATACAATGAGTATTTTGAAATTAAACCAGCTAGCCATGTGGCTTAGAGGGACGAGACAACTGATTTTTTATTTAAACAATGCAAAGGAAAAGGTTAAAAATTGGACTTAACCCTCCCAAATATGAAAACTTGCTTTGCACACTACATTTTGTCAACTAAATATTCAAATATTAGATTTAAAATAAAAATATCAAAAACACTGATATATAGCAATAGATTTTTTTTAAATTGTCATAGCATTTCTACTGTTAATTTGCACTGGGAAATAAAATGTCCTAAATTCATTAGGACTTATGCTTTTGTAAATATTCTTGATTCTAAAAGGTTCTAACTATAACCGGCTAGAGATTCATGCGGAAGATGAAGATGTAAGTAATCAAAGATGAACTACCAAATCACATCTCAATTATGTCCATCTTTTCTGCCTCTGATTGTGTCTCCAAATCTTATCAAAAGACAGACAGCTGGTAGAAAGAAAACAACTGAGAAATCTTTTTTTACACATGTTTTATCACTTCATCATAGCATCCATCATGCATATTTACTCAGCAAGCTAGTTAGTATAGAAAACACTCATTACAATAGTTTGTCATAAAACACTGTGTACTCCCAAAAGCGATTTAGCTTTTTCTCTCTATTGAAATCCATGTCTTTTCAAGGGAGCTATTTTTTTCTCTATACAACTGATATTCATCTCTTTAGGATAGATATCATGATTTGTGACCACAACACACAAACAAAAAAGCGAAATAAAAAAAAGTTACTTTTCCAACTGACTTTTATAAAGGAACACCCAAAGTCATAAGGGCTCCTTACTCAGAATCTGAATGGAATAAAGAGATCATTTTCTTCCTTCTCTTCCCTCATGAATTGATGGCAAATACGTTTAAAAGGACACATCAATCATACCATAATAACTTGGCAGCCAGCTTCAAAATTCAAATATTTTTGGAGGCAAACCAACAGAATGTGAATAAAAACAGGAGCACTATTATAATTCACCACTTCTATTGTGGAAGATATGAGGAAATATGACCAAATTGTCTGGCTACATAACAATTTCTCTGAAACAAAAATCTATTTATCAATATATGAACTTGCCTATTCCTCAAAAAAAAATGTGGAAATTTTATCCATATGCAAAGGTCTATCATCGTTCAGCACTGTTATATCCATTGCTGCAACGTATTACTTAAGCTCTTACAAAAGGATTACATAAGCTTTACAAATATCAAGCAGAAATTTAAAACAAATTATACACAGATTTCTAGTGAAGTAGAACCTTTAGTATCCTTAAGCTAAGAGGCCTTAGTTTAAAGCTAACTTGGTACCCCTACCAACTCTGCACAGTATGTGTAAAATATGGGCCCATTTCAGTTTGAAACATTAAAGGAAAAGCAATGCCCTTTTCTCATTTGGGAGGACCCACTATCATAACCCAGTAGAGCAAACAATGTTAGGTTATCTGGTTGCCTTAATTAGCATTTATCTCTAGGTACAGAGCACATAGTATTGCAGTTATCCTTAAGGAATGTATTAGGAAGCATAAAAATTGTCATCATAAACACCACAGATGATCTTCCACTGAAAATGTATGGGGGGGGATTGGATTAAAACAAACAATAAAATATTTGGATTATTTAGACACACACAAAGACAATCTCAAACAATTCTAAGAGAAAGAGGTTTAAATCATGCAGAGAAAAAAGAAAAAAACCTCTACATTATCAAGCTATCAATGCACTATATTGTTAGAATGCAGCCTGGCCTTTGCTTTTGTCATCCAAATCAGATCACTTTGCCATTCTGGTACCTGCTCATCTTTTTCCTCAGCCTGGAGAAGAGTTTAGTTTTCTTTCTGTTGAGGACGGCACACGTAAGTGATCTCCATTACAACACGGCTCAACCAATGAGAAAGAAAGGTGAAGATTCCGTGCATGAGCTAATGCAATTACTGTGAAGATATTCGTTCATAGAGGAACTAGAATGTGGCCCAGTGGGTCATCTTAGCACAGTAACAGGTACCCACACTGGACATTTTTAATTAAAAAAATATACCCATTAAGTGCTATGTCAATGCCCAGTGGATAGAAGAGGAAGAGAAGGATAGTTGTCACCACTCATCCTCAGATTACCTCAAAGCTGTACTGGAAAAGAAAAGTTGATTTGGAACAGGGCTGAGAAATATGCAATAGTTATAGCAGAGGGCTGTGTTTTGGAAACTGATGTTTCCTTATCTATCACAAGATCAATGAACACAGTGAGCCTTGAAAAGTTTGCAATTTGAGAAAACTGATCTTCTTTAAACATTAGCAATATGGGAATCACTTTCCAATGTGATGTTACAGCACTAATGTAATCTTAAAAACTCCATACCCATATGGATTAGGTCAGTTACATATTTTCCTAATAACTGTCCATAAACCCAACCTGACACTAATTTGACATTAAATTATGGCATAGAATGGGCGAGAGTCTTTAAATGTGTCCTAAAAAATATGTTCCCACAAAACATAAATTGTTTGAACTACTGTTATACTTCAGATGATGTCAGCTGAAAATAAATGTCAAATCTTTTGGGGTCCCCATGCCATCCCATAATATTTTTCTCATGATGGGTCTTCATGTTCTTTCTATACTGTTGCTGATATACAATTTTTTTCCATCTCTATTTGTAAAGTATACAGATAAGGTATTTTATGAAATACTTTTGGTTTGTGAATTTAACTGATGGAATAGTGCCTAGTTTCCATTTTGACTTTAATCTTGCTTTTTTATTTTCCCCTGAAACCTTATTTTTAGCTCCACTTCTACTGTTATGCCTAACCCAATCCTATTTAGCCAGACTTCATAGAAAAAAACAAAACAAATAATTGTTTCAAGCATAGCATAACTTCTTTCAGATGAGATATCAACAGAAAGGAATCTATAGCACTGAAATAATTACTGTGTTAAAATTACATCGATCCAAGTAGAAGGAACAAACAAAACTTCATTTAAAGAGACCAAAGTAATAATTCTTGTCATAGTCACTATGCATTAAGAAAGCAACGATATGCATATTTATTTAAAAATCAACCCCACCAACTATAATGTGGCTTTCTCCCAGTTCAGTGTTTATGGTACAAATCTACATCCTAAACAGACCAGACCTATGTTTTTCTTTCTCTTTGCTTATTGTTAATTATATTTGGCAAATTATTATATATATTAAGCTTAATATTGCTGACTTCATTTATATATATATATTTGTTCAATCTCTCTCTTTCTTCATCATTTTTGTATCTTTTTTCTCTTATCACAGATGAGTTATATGTAGTATTGAGTGAAAGTGATTTATAGAAGCTCTACAATTATGCTCTCTCTCTGAAAAACCTAAAGCATTCCACTCATTGCCAAGAACACAAGAACTGCTAGATTTTCTGATATCAATTCATTTTCCAGATTCATCTTCCCTTTCTTCTATCGTGTGCGTAGGAGTAGTTTTGCAAAAATAAGAAAGCAAGATAACTTCAGTTTGCTTTCCAAAAGAAGTACAGTCAGATCACGATAATCCTTTTCCTAAGGATGGCTTGGCATATTACATCTCATTAATAGAAACACAGTAAACTCCAGACTCAGAGCAGCTGGGAGTCTGAGTTCCCAAACTGCTTCATCATTCACATCTTTGGATGAAAGTCAGAAACCATCTGATCCAAAAAAGTGAGGCCTACTTTCTCCTTAACTGTATGTGTTGAGAGTTGGAGAAAATATTGTGTTTGTATGTGTACGTGTGTGTGTGTGTGTATGTATTTATAAAATATATGCATAAAGACTTGGCAGATATTATACCCTCTTCCTATCACTGCCTGTACTAGGAATTGGCTTTAACAGATCTAAGTGTACTGAATATCTTCACAAAGAATTTCACAGTATTGTTCAAAAAATCAAATGAATTTAATAATAAATTCATTAGTAAATACTAAATGCATCAACAATAATCATACAATATGGGGGAAGGGGTTGAATCAAAGAATTTTCACCAACTTTGCTTGAATTTCCTACAGCAATTCAAAAACATCCCTGCCGCTATAGCAAAACTAAAAATGTTGTGATCTATAGTATTATTCTTTGTGTGCATGTATAGGTCTGTTTTCCAGTTCAGATAAACACATTCATGATCATCTAAATCAGTGGTTCTCAACCTGTGGGTCGGGACCCCATTTGGGGTAGAACGACCATTTCACGGGGGTCACCAAACAAGGCTGTCCGCCATTTTTTCCTCCTTTTCTTTGGCCACGCTCCTGGCACCCGGTGATGTATAAGTGGTTGGGGGTCACCACAACATGGGGAACTGTATTATGGGGTCGCGGCATTAGAAAGATTGAGAACCACTGATCTAAATGTAGCCACTGTGTGTTACTATATGCCAGAATTGCACTGTCTTAATTTACTAATATATTCAGCCTTATGGACAACATTGTAGATACATTTATTGTTGTGTAAATCTGGTTTCTTTTTATGGAATTGTGCTAAAAGGTGTCTGATATGGAGCTGTGATCCTTAAGAATATAAATCATAAGTAACAGAGTCAAGGAGCTCAAAGGGCCAGCCTTTAGCCCCGGAGCTGAGAATAAGGTTTATTATTATTTATTATTATTTATATAGCACCATCAATGTGCATGGCATTTTACACAGTACAAGAGAACAAGTGCCTGCCCCGAGGAGCTTACAATCTAAAAATTGACAGAAGAAAACAACAGAGAAAGGGAAGGGAAATGGAGACAAGGATAAATGGGAAAAGAATATGTGATTAGTTCTATTAGACATACTTACGCTGATGTACACAAAGATATGGAAACCAGAATATTGTGTCAAGAAGACTATGTTATGACAGAATCAATTCTGGCAAATTAAACTTTAGCCCAACTGAAATGTATTTTTCCCATCATTGTATCTCCATCAAAACGTCAACTGCTAAATTTCTGAAGACCCATCTAGGGATAAAAATATCATAGCTGAAGTCTGAAGGGTTCACTCATAAGCAAGCAGAAAAATACAAGGGTTCCTACTCTTTTCCAACATTTCTTCCTTTTTCCTGCCATTCTGGTAGTTATATTTTTAAAATATGTAAAATTGTTCTATACATACAAAAACATATATCCTCATGCTCATTTTAATGTACATTTTGGTCTAGGTTTTGTTTCGGTGCAGACAGAGAAATGAACATTTAACCATGAAAAACACTGGGAAATATTTCCTGGGATGCCAGGATGGAAGGAGAAAGAAACAATATGATATTATCAGAAGACACTAATTAGAGAATAAGATAGACAGACATGGTGCTGCTGCCCAGCTTTTAACAAAGAAAGAAGATTTTTTTTCCATTCTTCTTGAAAACTATTCATTGGTTTACGTATACTAACCTTGGCTGAGCTTTGACAGGATAGGTGGTTGTTGCATGTTCTTTCTCTAGAGTCACAAGGACATCATTCAGGTTTTGGTTTAACTGAGACAATAAATAAACAAAAGTTCAAAATAGGAAAAGAAATTACAGGTCAGTATAACAAAGAGCCCATTTAGAAATATGTAAGTATATTCAGGATCCCCAAAGAGGGGTATTTTGCTAAGGGAAAGATTATGCTACTTATTTATATTACCTCACTGACATCACCAGGGACATCTTTTGAAAGAGATGCCATATGAGCAAATAATAATATGTTTGGTTCATGTTTACTCATTTCCTCCTCTTCTGGCTCAGCTTCACATATTCATACTGCTCCAGGCTGTCCCATCCCTACAGACTCTGTTTCTCACTGGGACTTAACACCATCTTCCTTCTCTCTCTTCCCATCCCATTGTCTGCCTAGGTTGCTATGCAATCTTAGTCTGTCACTAAATAAGACATCTGGCCAAAGTAGTGGAAATGCCCTGAGGGAAGGAGTTCATCTAGGCTTGCAGCCTACGCCAGCCACTGCAGCATATCCATGGGCCAATCTGACTCTAAAATACAGATATCTTTTGGCATCACTTTTGCTGGAGGAAAAATGGAAGAAACAGGATCAGCTCTAATTACCCCAGAAAAACAGACTGATCAGGATTTTATCTCATAAACTGCTGCGCTGTTGCTGGAATGTATAGCACTTTTGATAAGCGTAATGTTAGTGTGGTCTGGTTCTAGCATTTTTACATTCAAATTGCTCCCATAAGCTATGAGGAAGCATACTCCCATAAGCTATGATCAATGTAAATAATGTGAAACTTCAGTTCAGCTTTACTATTAGTGGTCTACCTCTCTGTTTTTCTCACTTGTTGTTAAGACTTTAAATGCTTTAGCTGAACTGTAGCAGGAGCATCTTTTCCTAGCTGAAAAATGTCTACAGTATTTTGGAGGATTACTTTTGGATGTCTAGCTATAACATCCATCTGATCATATCAGTGGATCAAATACCATGTAAGTTGGCAGTTTCACTAAGCTTGCTGCCACCCATACTATTAAATCTTCTTTGTGACTCAGAGTACATAATATTTATAGAGATATGCAATAGCTTAGAAATACGAGCAAAATACGAGATATACAATTTCCTTCCCCAGAGTGTCTAGTTTTTAGGACCCTTTTTGGAAATCTCATTAATGCAAAGGCATAGAGCCAGACAATATCTGCCTTGAAAGTTTATATATACAAATCTGAACTCCTTGTTGGAAGCTTGGCAGAATCTTAAATAATGTGCATAGCCGTATCTTTCAACAACATTACCATTTTCCTCTTAAATACTTTTTTTCAATTTGTATTTAGTCATTTAACACCCCTTATGTCAACGCTGCTAACATCGGATGTTTTTGCTTTGACAACAGTTAGAGATGCAACCATTTTCTTCTTATGTTTTACTTTTAGAGTTAGATGATGCTGGGGGGGGGGAGGAATGTCACGAGAGTTTAGATAGACATAATAATACTGGACTTAGTGTGTGAACCAAGGTTAATGAAATAAGAGATGATAAGAATTGGCGGCTGGAGAACTGGAGGGAAAGCCTGCATTTCAAACTAATTGGAGAATGTGATTTATGACTGTTAATTGGAGGAGGAAATTGTGCTTTGATAATAGGTACTCAGGCGAGGGGAATCCAGTTTTTGGATTCAACTGTGTTAGTGCCGACCTATGCTTCTCAAATAAAGACTTTTCAAGGTAAACAATGCCTCAAAGTTGTTTGAAGAGTTTCATCTGTCGGAACCATGACACCTTATATATCCTCCTTTCAATATTGACATGTTCCTTTTTCTATTGCCTGCTACAGGATTTTAAATTCTAAGTAAAGCGGATTAAGTTGCAGGTTTATGTAAACAGATGCATAAAATTTCCTTCTTTTACATTTACACTTTTAAACTGTGGTCTTCCTATTCCTTGTCAAGTTATTTGTACAACGGAAGAGAAAGATCATTTATGCTGCTCTGAAGGTATCAATTCTTTATCCGTGATATTAAAGTAAAATATGGCACAGGCACTGGAGAAATTCAGAACATGTTTCATTGGCAAGCAATTTTTGAAAAGCAACTGAATAGTTACATTGATCTACCTACAGAAAAGTAGATATATAGAAAAATGAGGAAGTAGGTCCTCATTTCCTTTCATATTTTTCACTAACAGAACTTAAGAAAGCATGCATAATATACCAAAGCAGTTTTAGGCACTGTCCAAACTTGGAACTGTTTATCTTCTACAAGATTGCTACTGATTGTGTCTTGAAAATATGCCTTAGTCTGTTCTTAAACAGACAATTGTTAAACTGTGTCAGCATCCCTGAGCATCATCAACTAACACAATTGCTTTCTAATTAAAAAAAAGTAGGAAGGAGAACTATATGAGATATCAATAGGAAGAAGAATGTCTTGCAACTTTACCTTGCCCATCTCCTTATGAAAATTCTCTTCTAAGCCAGCAATACTCTGGAACGTGTTGACATAGAAACCAACACGACTAGAAAATAAAAGAGTACAAGTCAATAGAGATATGGGCAGATGTTTATCCTTCAACTTTACCTCACTTTTTAATCAGCTTTCATGTCCTCGACTCCTCTCGCAGAATGGAATTTTAGCAAAAGAAATAGCATGGACAGAATACTTTGGTTGAGCTTCATTGGAGCAAAAACCAATTAAGATCTTGTAAATTCCTCAACTGAGACCCTCAGCTTCTTTATAGGTAGAATAACGAGCATTTTTTCAGTGCTCACCTATTCCATAGTGAAGGCAGTTCTTCCTGAAGATCAATGTTCATCTCTTCAAATACTTTCTGGGCTTTTACTAATTCTTCTTCAGCCTGTGGGGTGTTAACAAACCCATATGCAACCATTCAGAAGACAGTTTACATAAGTTCCATATTGGTCACTATGTGGTATAGTGGAGATCTGGAAAGCATTTACTAGAATATGGGCTGGCAAACTACCCAGGTTTTTAATGCAGACAAATGGAGGTGGTAACAATATCCCAGTCTTTCCCAGGAGCCCAGTATTCTTACCTTTCAGGGTTTGACAAAGCTGATCAAGATCCCACAAATCCATCTCTCTCCCATTGAGGATTGAGGGAGAAGATTCTGACAACTAAGCTTTGGTCACTATAAAGAAAAACTGATGTCTACTTTGTACAAAGATAAACTGAGCTTGGCCTCATTAGAATGCCAGTTAAAGTCCACTTGCACTTCCAGCTGACAGAAATGCTCTACATTGCCCTCTATTTCCTCAGATGGCCTCAGATGTTGGGCATCTGTTCCCAATAAAGGTGAGAATTCCAGTATGTGGCTGCATGAATGGAAATGGTTTATGTGACTAATATGGGAAGTTACAAAAAGCGTATCTACAAAGCTACCTCTTACTCTAGTTCTTTCTCAGAACACATTGCCAAGAATGTTGGAAATGGTGCTTTGCATACCAGTAAGGATTATTATATATACACAGACTTCTGGAATTCTATGAAAATGCAATTATGCAGTATTCATTCAAAGTAAAACTAAAAAAAATGTTTAATATTCCCCAGATGGTTAGCACTAGCATAAAGTTTTAAAGAGCTTAACAAGTACAAACAGTGGAGACATATGTATCTATAGGCTAGTGATATAGAATATTTAACCAGTAAATGCACAGGAGCTTCATTTTATATCATATATGGTCTATTATACTATGAATAAATAGTGAAACTGGATTCTTACCAATTCAGTAGCAAGAAGAAAAAAGAAATTGCTTATATACCAGTCAATGGCAGGAATGTCAAGAGATCCCTAAGGACCATATACATGTAAGTCAAGGTGTCATTCTTATAAAGTGCTAGTATGTGTAACACAAGTCAGATTCTTTGGCTAAAGGATAAATATATTTTATTAGTGAATATATATGCTAAGATATATTGTATAAAATTACCCTAGTGCCTGACTGGTGGTTTTTCTAAAAATGGGGCAAGGTGACACATGATTTCATATGATGAATGCCTGAATTAAGCAACAATCAGAAATTAATAGCAAAGTTGGGGGTTCGAAGTATACAAACTGTGTAGAACATTATTACTTGGAATCTTAAACTGAGCTAGTCTACTTTTCCATTTTCAGCAGACAGGATTATTCATGCTCTAGAACTAAAAAAAAATGATATCTACATTGAAATAGTCCAATGTTGTGAGACAGAAATACCCAAGGCAACGTTCACTCTGTGAAAATACAATAAGAGTCTGTAAAACTCAATTGCAATACTATGGTTTCCCACAGGAGCCACCTTGGCAGACTCAATAAAATAGTTATTATGACAATTATTTGTCTCTTTATCTTAAGGCAAATTCATTAAAATAATATAAAATATAAAAATATTGAGATATACTATACAAAACAATACAATACAAAATTGAACAGGCAAAAAAGGAATGCTACAGCAACTCTCTACCTTTCTGTTTTTACAAAAGCTGAGAAATTGCATGCAAAATGACAGAAATGGAATTTGATCAATTAACATGAAACACTGCAAGATATTCTTGAAAGATAGGTTATGTTTTTATATCATTGCTTCTATATGATGTGTCATCTTAATTGACATTTGTACTTATAAAGTGTTACTGTTGCTCTGATATGTACTGCTTAAAGCTGTCTGGACTGAAGTGATATACAGTATAAATATTACAAGAAATAAATATGCAAGCATTCTAAGAACAAGCATATTCATTGGATTACAATAGTTCTTTCAATTCGCCTTTTTTTAAACATATCAAATATACCGTATTTTCCGGCGTATAAGACGACTTTCTAACCATGCAAATCTTCTCCAAAGTCGGGGGTCGTCTTATACTCCGAGTCATCTTATATGCCGGAAAATACGGTAATTCAGAAACTAATCAATACATCCTGTAGAACAAGTAATCTTAGTGATCTGCCTTTTCCAGACTTTTTATATTGAGGTAATTTTTAATCTTTTATGATACTAATCCTATTAGTTGGTGGTTTAGCATTATGTCACCTCTGCATCATTTGCTAACGTATAAGCTACTTGTCTATGTCATCTGGATTCACTTCAAATTTCAGGTGCCAACTTCTGCAGATTTATATTTTTTTTAATTTGATTTTTTAAAATATTAGATTTCAATGTGACATTCTTCCCACTGAAGAATTCCAATGCTCAGCAAGATGAAACAGCTGCCTAGCTGATTCATGAACATAAAGAAAAAGAGTTTCTTGATACATAGTTGAATCTGGGCCAGTTTTACAAAGAAAGCATCTGTATGCTTTTAGCTAGCATTTCAATGGGGTTGTAGGAAGGCAGGAATTTGCTGTCTTAAGCAATTTAACTCATTAACCTTCCGGAATATATTCCAAAAGAGAACACAGCTAGAGTAATAATTTATTTCTGCTCTCTTGAGACACCTCCCCTCATCTTTCTGATAGAAAAAATTAAATCTACCTCTGTGTTATTTACTGCCTATCTTTGATAGAGATTGTGGCTAGAAACAAGAAATTAAAAGTTAGCTCACTTACCAAAGAAAACTCATTTTAGAAGGTACACAAACCATATGTTTGTTTTGAATGTTTTGAACCTGAAATTTGGAAGTTCTGATGAACCATTCCAGGTGGGCATTAGTAGTGGCTAAGGGGGGAGTAAAGGAGAAAAAATGCTATGGAGATTGGAAGATAGGAAGCCATTTGGCCACGTCATATTTGAAGGTTGTTGGTTTCAAGCACAGCACATTCAAGTGGCCCACCTAATCCTTCTACCATGTTCTTTTTTTCTATTTTCCCTTACCCACCACCAATAATAACAACTTCCTTAGTTTCAAGAGCTGCAAATTTAACCAATTCAACCACACCTCTCTTCAATCTTCCCAGTGCCATATTTGTCCTGCCTCCCCTTAGCTGCCACTGATGATGTTTGGGTTTTGGCCCACTCTTTCCCCAAAGAAATCACTGGAACACACATCTGGAGCACAATCCAGTTAAAGACCACCCAAAATTCTCATCAGTCCAAATTAATATAGACAATGGTCAAGACTGATAGTAATCCAAGCCATCTGGAATTTGAGAAGCTGGGTTTAAAGTAGGCAGCACTTAATTAAATGTATTCACTGATCAGTTCAGAGAAGCCACAAAAATGGAAACTGGTTTCTTTCATTCAAAACAATAAGTTATCCTCTAGTATTTGCTCTTTTTTTCCTTTTATTTAGTTCTTTGCTTCATTTAGCATATACACTTTGCAAGTGTGTCCTTGTTAAAACACAATATGCTGTGCTGATCTTTATTTCTATTCCTCATGGAAAACAGAAATCTGATAACTCTTATTCACTTATTACCAAGTTGTTTCCCATAAGGCTTTGGGGTGTTCAAAGTTCTTGGCAGGATTTTATTTACTGGCACCTTATTCTTCAAATGATTTTAGAGAAAGGCTACAATGTCCAGAGACATTTCTAATCATAAAGTAGAACAAGACATAAAAACTATAGACTTAAAGGTTGTTATACATTCATTTAAAAAACATCTGGATTTTATAAAAAGTTAAATATAAAATAATATGTACCAACAGAAGCTGAAAAACCAAAAGAAAGCCCATACAGGCAACTTTAAAACAACAACATTCAGGATATATATTTAAAAAGATCCTCTTCTCCTTGCTTATTATATAGAGCATGGTGAAGGGAAAGGGATGTGAGAATACAACAACAATATCCATTTCTCAGAAATGGATTCTGGGATTTAATGGCTGAGTTTTAATAAAAGAGAAGAGTAAATATTGATCAAGAACCATGGTCAGCCAACCTGAAATTTGGATGTGAGAGTGAAGGACTTTAAGTGTTGGTAAGTTAATGGAAATAATAAGCCTTGCTATAAAATGTTTTATAAGGACTGAATATCGGGTTAAAAGAATCTATAATAACAAGAAGAGACTACCATATAATATGTAGATATATACTTCCATCCCCTCCTTCTCATCCATAGATCTCAGAATCCAGAAACATTGGATCATACTCAAGCAATTATAAACTCCTAGGCGAACCCTACTTTTAATTGAGCAATACCAGTTGCCACACAATGGAGACACCCAAATTAAACAGTAACTATGGAACCACTTCCTCACCTTCTATCCTATCATCTCACTGGACACCCATACATTTACTGTAATTGCTGATGAGGACATGGCACCATGTATTAATCCAGGGGAATACAAAATCAGAGAAATTATATCGCCTTTTCAAACATGTTTTGGGCTTCAAGAAGTCTGAATTTTAAATCAACATTCTTCCCAGAGAAAATAAACCTTCTGGGAGAGGTTAGAGTGAACGCTGCCTGGGGAATAAGCACAGAAGAGAGCTTCAGCCAGAAATAGCACATGCAGGGTTAGACAGCAAGGCAGGCTGGACTATCACCTGATTCCGCAGTAGGTTAGTCTGAGCTACGAGGTGCGCTTGTAGCTTCCCTTGGCACCACTGAGGCGCGGCTTTCTCAAGCAACGACACAGGCTGGGCAAAAGCATTTTCAGAAGACAAGACAAGAAGAAAACAGACACATTTTGAGAATTATTTTTTAAAAAAAATAAAAATCAAATAATAAAGGCTAGGATGAACCAACCATCCCAACAAAAAACAACAACAGAAGAAGTCAGTATTAAGCGATAAGTCAAGGATGAATCCTATATGATATGCTAAATCTAGCAGTAATTAATGCTCCACAAAATGTTCAATGAACTCCAGAGAGAACACAGCTTATGAACACTCCAGCTGCAGAGAGCAACAGAGAAGAAATTGTTAGTCATTTAGAAGCAACAGAGTCCAACCTTACTTAGTCTCTCTCCATAGGTCATTAGCAACTTCAAAAGGAGCCAAGATTAAAAGACAACTTCATTATAACAGCCATGCAGATTATTCATATTTTGTAGCATTTTATTTAAACATCGGAAGTTGACAACTGTCTAAGCCTAAGGTGGGAATAATTTGCATTAAGCACAGGGGCACTTATTTAAACATCCGTAAGATCTTAGATCACTGAGGACTATACAGAATTGAAGAATATTCCCCCATTAGTGGCATGATTAGATTTTCCAGAGCACAAGGAACAATAGTCATAGAGAGAAGCTTGACTGAGAAAATGTTTAATCTGAATTTCACAAAATCACTCCTGCTGATATCCTTAACTTGTGTCATCCGCATGCTCTGCAACAGTCATAAATAGAAACGCAGAGCAGTTAACTCCATTTATAGAGACAGATGCCTTTCACCTGAAAAAGCCTGGACAAATCATTTTTCCCATGACACAAGCAGTCAAATCAGAAAAAGTCTAGATTAGCCAGAAACCCTAAATTGTTCAGTAATTCAGGAGTAAAGGAATACTAATAGAAAGAATTTTTCACCCCCTAGCTGTAAGACTTCTTGTTTCTTCATTTAGTTTTTTTCCCCTTTTAGCATTGACACACTTCTACTGATTTTACATTTCAGTTGTAAACAATAGTTTTTGCATTGTTTTTATTCATAAGATAAAATCATGTTTGTCAGGAATTCTGAAGTTTGGGCATTTTGTTCTTTTACTTCTAACAACAAAAAGCTGATTGTTTTGTAGAGTATTATCCCAGCATGAAATACATATTTTTCTTCAGCTGAGAGAAAGCAGCCACACCACCCCTTACAAGAGTTATTTACCTTGGCAATTTTAGCCTCATCTTTCTTCTTTGCAGTTTGAAGAGATTCATAATGATGCCTGGCACTGTCATAGTCTACAAGTTTCCTTCCCCGTTTAGCAATGCGAGACTGAAAGGAGATGTGAGAAGAACACCAGAGCCATGAAGTAACCATTTTTACAAACCAATGTATATGCATTCTGCGAATTATGCTGCCAACAAGCAACTGTCTTGTAATCAAGCTCCTTGCATCTATTTAAGATCAATGTAGATTATTTCAACTTTTCTCCCAATGTATATGCTGAAATTTCTGATGTACAGACCTACACACATACACACACACACACAGAGAGAGAGAGAGAGAGAGAGAGAGAGAGAGAGAGAGAGAGAGAGAGAGAGAGAGAGAGAGAGAGAGAGAGAGAGAGAGAGAGCGCAATTGGCAAATGTGCCAATGGAAATGAAAGGAGAGAGTTGGAATTTTTTTTTCTACCAGTTAGTTGGATGGAGTACTAGCTGGCTGAGTGGAAGGTGGAGTACAACATTATTGTATTTTTATCTTCAGAATAACCTTCTGAGAGAGGTTGAAGTGAGATACAGTGACTTTATACTGTACAACTTTGTCTTACAGCTTTCCCATTTCCCCATAACGAAACACTAATCCTACTGCCTCAATACTTTCACTCAAGTATGTCTCTCTTCTAAAGTACCTCAACTTAAAACATAGATGTCTCTGTGCTTTTCAAAATTCCTTTCTATGTCATTCCTTAAAAAAACCCTGAAAGAAACAGAGTTGCTAAAATTATTATGATAAACATGTAACATATTCTATATTTGCATCTTCAGTTCTTTTTTTACAGAATGAACGTTTTGCACACTCTGAATATTGTGTATTGTTCCTAGAGTGATAGCAGTAAAATAGCACTTAAAGGAGATCTTGTTGTTCCTGATGCATTTTTGCTTTGGGAGCTTTGAGAAATGGAACAGGAAAGAAAGATTAATATAGATGCCATGCTAATTTTTCATTAGCTTAAGGTCACGAGACAATAAAAAACCACAGGAAAAACCAAACTTCAGTTTTCAGAAATATATTACTAAAAAAAATGAAAGAAAGGAACTATAAGAAAGAAAATATTTGTGCTTGATAAGAATGGGCAGCCCAACAGTACTTACGATCCATTCAGAAAAAAGCAGGGTTTTTTGAACAATGGTTTCTGATGTGACATATATTATATGATTTCATTAAGTTTTATATTTCAAATCAAATCAAGCTACTTCAATTACTCTGTTTCACCTACAACAAAAAAATTGTTTTTGGTACTATAATGTTTTGCCATCAGGATTACTATTGAATGATTAATTGATTGATTATGTCATTGTTGACTCTTAACAATCACATAGAGATAAATATAAATATATTATATTTATATACAGTAAATATAAATCAATAATCTTGATTTTTTTTACATATTTCTATTTCAGCTCTAGTGAGAGTTTAATTATTGTCAGCTTTCTATTTTATCATTTGACTATCATGAATGTATTTTTGTACATTTTTGTTATAAATTCTTGAATGGTAGTCAAATGCAGAATATAAATTATATTACCATTATAAGCCACTCTGTAAGTTGCATCTAAGAGAATAGGAAGGACTTTGTGAAATTCTATATATCAGGTATGTTTATTACAAAGAGGTTGAAGAACAAAATGGGTGCCTGTGAGCCTAATGCACCAATCCATATATACATTTTTCCCAAAATAAATATCTTGCAGAGAGTATAGAATTCCTTACATTAGTGATTTTGGAAGTGTGAGTCTAGAAACCACTGCTGGTCAATGGAAGTCCTCTCAGTGGACTATGCAGCCTCCCTACATTCATCAGCCTGAGTCCATTTCCAACAATCAGCTGACACCCTATCAATGGCCAAGGTTGCCAGAGCTAAATCAGTCTGGTCAACTGTGTACGGAGGGAGGCCTCCAACAGTTAGCTGGCTGCTCAGTGCCTCAGCCCCCACATGAAATACTATTATAAATACTTAATTCTGGATTGCACATTTTGTTATAATTATTAGTTTCAAAAGGCCTTTTAAAATGGAATAAGAAGGCATACACAAATGCAAGAATATTTTACTTAAAAATCCTCCAGCTCTCCCATGCTCATAAAGATAAAAATGTAAGAAGGGAGTATCTATTATACTGGGTGGCCCCACATTTATTAATGTCTTTTGAAACACTCCATTTGTTTCACTGCTAATGTGGCTTTCACCTTCCAAAAGGAAATTAAGGTAGACCAAAACTTTATGAAACCCCCATACCTTTATGTCTGGGAACTGGCCAAGATAGGTGTCCATAGTCAGCAATGCCTGATCTACCAGTTTCTGATGAAAGTCTGTCCAAAGCAAGTCATTATTCTGGAACAGAATAAGAGTAATGTGAGAAGAGTTGGGTTATCTGTGCATTATGCAGGTCAAGTTCATCTATGTGAGCAAAAGTATGATAACAGTGAGATACATTTCATCCCTAGTACTAGTAAATGAATTCATAAGACAAATCGTGTTTGAAGCTTCCTTTTTTAGTATGCATATGTGTAACACCATTAGGATCTGTTCCTAAAACTGTCATGCTTTTGTTTTCTAGACAATTTTAAAAGCTACAATTATTTAAAAGTGCTGGACAAAGATACTAGATTTGTGCATCTTCTATTCCAACCTTTTTGGAATCAGGGACTGGTATCGTGGAAGACAATTTTTTCAAGGACTGGGAGAGATGGATTCAATTTCATTCATTCACCTGCCATTCACTCCCAGCTATGTGGCCCAGTTCCTAATAGGCCACGGACTAGTACTGGGGATTGGGGATCCCTGTTTTGTACAATAAGGGAAGCTCTGACTGTTGAATTTCAACCGGCTATGAATAAAAAAATTAATTGGAATATTTGCTATATGACAAATATTTCTGTGCCTTTTTTTCTATCTCTGATGTACAGTAGTTTGGTCTTTATGACATATATGGGTTCCATCAATTCACTGTTGCTTTTCTCTAAGCAGCTACAACATCAGCAAGTGCCCCCATGTTCACGTTAAGTTGGAAAATATTATTTGCAGACACTCGAGATCAGTACAGTTCCCCCCCCCCAGTCTGGTTTCATAGTGGCCGGCTGTGAGTGTAAGAGATATGCTATTTGCCTCTTGTTCTTATGTGGAATTTTTGGTATCAGAAAAAAGATATTGTTCTATCATAGAACACACTGGCACAATTTGTGCATGATGTAAAACAATAGATAAGCACAGTAAGGGGATTTTTGCTTGAATGCTTGGGATTTTTGCTTGAATGCTCCCTATTCCTGCTTTGCTACTACAGGCACAAGGAGGAGATTGGAAACATCATCTTCTAGCCCCAGAGTTTATTCTACACAACAAATACAAGCTGTGGTTAATTCAAACCATGGTTCATTAAAACAAAGCAGGATTAAATCATGGCACATGACCATGGCATCTTTCATTAAATTAACACTTAGTAAACAAATTGATAAATCATCAAGAGGAAGTGATGGCTTCTCTTCTTTTCTCTTGTGGAGGTATCAGAGAACAGAATATGTGAGTCTAAGATATAAGCACATTCATTTCTGTAATACTAAACAAATTAACACTTGCTGCCTTCACAAATCTGAGATCACAATACATTTATCATGCTAATGTGTGAGAAATCCAAAGCTCACCTCTCCTATTTTGTAACTTTCATCCCTTCCTGGCCAATCGGGTTCATATACTTCTTGCAAACACTCTGTAAGTCTCTTGGAGGCTTCATGCATTGCTTTGAAATAGAAAAGAATGACATAACAGTAAGGAAATAATTATTCATCCTGCCCTCTAAGAAAAATCCAAACACCTTGCTCATTTATAAAGGACTTGATAATATTCATAATATTTCTTTCCTAACAAGAAAAATAAAAGATGAACAAACAAATGGTTACACACATCAATTCCCTTGTGGTTTAATATTCTTTCTTTAATAAAAAAATGAAACTAAGTTCCTTTTTTAAATGGCTAATTTCTTATTTCTGAACATAGTATAATTTAAGAAGAGTTTCAAATATTTGGCTGAGATTTATACACACACACACATACCTATACATGTGTGTGTAAATAATTTAATTTATAATGTAATGTAATATAATATATAATATAATGATATACTGTATTATAATAATAATAATAATAATATAGTAATATAGATACTACTCTTTCTATTTGTTCTTCAACATTATACTGAAAGATTAAAATAAGAACTGCTGCCTATTGATATAATTAGTCTGGCCATGTTTTGTGGAGCTTTTTTAAAGTAGTAAGAACAAAAGTAAAAGGAAGGGACAGGATCCCAACAGAAAAAAAGAGATTTGCATTATAATTGTTTATCTCTCCTGCTTCCTGGAACCTGAAAAGTATAACACATGTCATTTACTTGTTATTAAGCAAATGAATAACTCCAAATTTCCAAGCTTCCAAGTCTGGTGGCCTTTATTTTTTTTTTAACCACCATGGGACCTAATATTATGCCAGGAGCCATGACAACATCTCCCCCACTCTCTATTATCCTCTTACTAGCCTAATTTATTAGTCAAGACAGAGCTTGAAGCATTTATAAAATATTACTAGAATCTATCTATAGCACATCTCTAGGAAACGTTTCCATGTTAAATAAATAGCATTTGCCCCTGTTCCAAATTTTCTTGGCCACCATAAAATTCCAATAACTACTTAGTTCCATAATTATAGCTTTCTAAAGTAATGCAAATAGCACTGCCTAGCAGCAATAGACAAAACTGGGTAAGATAAGATTTAATAATGGCTTCTGGAATTTATTTCACAGAAGATCATGTAAAGCAATAGGACTATTATTCCAAGTATTACCTTTAACTGAAGTCAGGTAGGTCCGGAGATCCTTCTGTAGCTTGGATCCTTCTGCCTAAAAAAATAGTGAATAGAAATAGTGAGTGAGCTATTGCAATAACAGGTCACAATAGTTTGGTTTTGATATCAAGTTCCACTGTTGCTTTTCATCTTTAAAATCCTGAAAAGAAAGATTAAAATATTGTTTTTTGAAAGAACCTGTCTAGTTTATAAGATTTATAAGATTAGCTGTAGAGGGAACTCCCCAGATTAGCAGACATTTGTCTTTTTAGATATAGCATCTTCTTTGTAGAACATTTATCTCTAGAAAGCCATATTAATTTCCTCAATTAACTATTGCTTTTATTTTTTTAAAAAAAACTTTTAATATAATCAGTTAAATGATCTCCTTTGGTATTTTATATAATTCCATATTGCTTATATCTATATATGCTCTACCTCAGATTTAGCAACAGGAATTGTGGTCCCAACTTTAGTTGTATGTCCACCTGTGGGTTAAGCTGTACATTACTATTTTTGATTTAAAGCTTTACCAACACCTTGAATTAAGCACACACAATATAATTTGGTACAATTTAGAATAGATTACATCTGTAAAGTAGAAATAATCTATTCTAAAAAATAAAAAAGGATCACTACCACAACCCAGCTACAAATTTAAAAAGCTATAAAATATTTTGAATTCTGTTTCTCCCTTTATTATATTATCTACTAGTTTATTGATTTTGTCTGTTATTTATCTTATTTTATTGACATCTGCCCTATAGTGATTATTTTTAGCTGTTTTGGAAAGTTCAGTAGACAAGTAAACAAAAATTTAAAATGAGTAAATAATTCAATAGCAAAACATAATTGCAACTAATTAGGTTGTGGAATTGGGAATGGCTAAGAAGGTTTAGGCCAATGAGTCAATCTAAGTCACAATAGCTTTTCTTTTATCTCTCATTTCAATAAAGCAGCATGACAACAAACTGATTTTCTGAAATATTCAAAACTTTAATATTTAAATTAAAATAACAGAAATATATTTAGAATAGGAACCTTGGTCTCAAAAGATGAATACTTCAAACTGCCATTTTACAATTGTCTACTGAGTTGTTACTTAATTCCAAGTAAGTACATTCAGGACTGGAGCTCTAGATTCACGACATCCCTTATTTTGGATTTGATGTTTATCAAAAATTGCATAAGATACAAATTGTCATAACTGATATTCTGTATTATTGAGCACTAACACCATCCATCAAACAGTATCAGCTACTGAGTACAATTATGTGTATAGAACTTACTAGTTAAAAACATTAAAGAGTAGTAAATAACTATCATTTGTAAGAAATAATTTAAAATCAAATATTATAACCTGTCAAATACCCGCAATCTATTTAGCAAATATGAAGACATTCAATATTATTAAAGACAACTTTTCATTTTGAATGAAAAATTTGTCTCAATCTAATGACCAAGGTTGGAGTTGGGCGACCTAATTTTTCCAACTGTTTGCAGCTGGAATAAAGCAGGAATCTCCAGGTTCCCTATCTCCATACATCAGCTCAGCAAAGCACTTTTCTTCTTGAGATCAAGGCTTTTAAAAATTGCAATCTCATTGTTTTGAACATGGTCTCCCCATCACGGGTTGATAGTCAAGGAAGAACCTCTTAATTGCAACTGGGATGTAAATCATTTTTGGCCTGATCCTCCATTTTAATATTTAAATACTCAAAAGTCCCCAACCAATATCTCTAGCATAATTCCAATTATGCAATTTTTCTGCATATGGGTTAATTTAGTCCTTAAAGTGTGCATCTTCAAAGACAGTACAAAAGAAAAATGGTCACATACTGGGTGTCCCTCCCTGCCTAACATCAACAAAAGCTGGATGGAATGTCTATGGCCATGGGAACAGCTGTGGTTTTTCAAAAGGAAGGACAAGGGCAGCAGGAAAAAGAAAAATCTATCCAGCAGCATCTGCTTATACAGAAGACTGCCTTTCCTCTTTCCTTTTATCTTCATAAAGGGGGAATTTAAAGAGAGGAAGCTTATACAACATCTGTTTCAGGAGGTAACAGATGAAGACATGTTTCCTGTCATGGTCCTCCTTGCTCTTACTCTAAAAGTGTTTATGTCTTCATTCTTATCTTGTGTTTTTAAAATAAAAAAACTATAACAGAGTTCCAGTTATCCAAGACTTAAAAGTACTGTATATGTTTCTGATATGTTCAGACTGGCACCAATTCTGCTAATGATGTTGACTCTGCATTCAATTGTACTGAAAACCCTTATAAAATGAGTGGAGTAATCTTTTTCCCTCAATTTATTAGAAATGCAACAGTTCCAGAGATATTGCAGCAATAGGTAATAATAATAATAATAATAATAATAATAATAATAATAATAATAATAATAACAACAACAACAACAACAACAACAACCCTTGTTGTGGTTGTGGGGCTTGTGTACTCTGAGGAAGATGAGAGCTATGCCAGAGGTTCAACCATACTGGACAGGTCTCATCAGAGGAGTCAAACAAAGAGTGTCTCTCCCATAAAAAATATGGTGAGACGTAAATTTCAGAAAGCCATACCGGCTCAGATGTCACCGGGTTAACAAGATCTGAACTAGATGTTGGAGTTCCTGGATATCTAATGAAAAATGGGTTACAGGACTCAGGACTGTTGGCTGAGCAACCAGGGCCCGCAGCTGCAGAACTACTGGAAGAAAAGGTATTTACCTGTCGCAAATACACTGTGATTGAAAACAAAGAAATAATGATTTGTTATTATATATCAAGTCCAACAAGAAGAGGATATCTAAAACAAATGCACCAGTTCTGGAAAGACCAACATCCAGAATCAGAAATAACAGAACAGAGACTAACAGATCAACGCCGATTTATAATACAAAATAAAGTATTCACAGAAACAGAATTGGCGAACTATAAAGGTTTACCCAGCATAGCTGATTCAGGAATTCTGGGTATTGAAGTCCACAAGTCGTAAAAGAGCCAAGGTTGCCTACTCCTGACCCTGGGCAAAGAAATCAAAGCCTTGCCAGAAGTAATTCAGAATGTAGAGGCAAACCAGGGGGAGTTGGCAGTGAAGGATATACAACTGTTCTCATTTGGAAACCAGGCACCTTTTCCACAGGAAGAACAAAACCCTCTAACTAAAGAAATAAAAGAATTGAAACAAAGAATAACTGATCATCTAGAACAGCACAAAAACAACAGAATAAAGCTGCCTGCATTGAAGTTTGTTCCAAAGAAACAGCTAGCACAAGCATTAAAAGATGAAAATACTGCAATATCAAGTATAAGCACCAATTCACTGCAAGAAACAAACCAACTAATGTAGTTATAACTGAATATCTGGGATGCAAAATCAACAAAGAAGAAAAACAAACAAACAGTGCACCACAAAAATGGAATGTTAGACTAGAAAATAAGATCAGCAAGTTAAGATCACATGCAAGCAAGCTAGAACAGATGAAAGAAAAGAAGCTGAAGAACAAGAAGACCAAAGAATACCTAATCAAGAAATACCACTTAGAAACAAGGAAAATCAAGGAAACACTGGAAACAATAAAACAGCAAATAACAGCTATAGCCAGGAAAATCAGTAGATATGAAGCTCGAATTGCACATTATAGGCAGAATCTCCAATTTCAATCCAATCAGAAACATTTCTACCAATCCATTAATGGAGAAACTGCAATGAATCAGTCAGTACCTGACAAGGAAGAAACAGTGCAGTTCTGGAAGCAGATATGGGATAACCCAAAGAAATACAACAAGGATGGGGCTTGGTTAAAAGAGAATAAATAAAATAGAAGTTGAAATGAAAGAACTAGTAATAACAACAAAAGTGGTAGAAAAAAGAGCAAGTAAGATCAGCACCAGGTGAAGATGAACTGCATGGCTTTTGGTTGAAATATCTAATTGTTATATACCCACTCGTTGCCAAGCAGTTCAACAATATACTACAAAGAGGAGAAATTGAAAAGTGGCTAACAACTGGGAAAACCTACCTAATAATGAAAAATCCAGCAATATCAGGCAACTACAGGCCAATTACCTGCTTACCAACAACTTTCAAATTGCTAACTGATATGGTAGTTGATGCAGTACAACAGCATCTAGTTGAAAACAATTTCTTTTCCCCTGAGCAGAAAGGAAACTGCCCCAACAGCAAAGGAACAAAATAATCTTGGAAAACTGCAAGAAAAGAAAGACCAATGTGGCATGGATTGATTACAAAAAGGCATTTGACTGTCTGCCACATGACTGGATAATCAAGTGCCTAGAAATAACAGGAGTCAGTGTAAACATCAGAAAATTTGTGCAAAGATCGATGGCACAATAGAAGACACAGTTGCAAATCAATGGTGAGAGAGTAGGAGAGATTAATATCAAGAGAGGAATATTTCAAGGAGATTTATTATCACAACTACTATTTGTTATTGCACTGTTTCCTCTGTCAGCAATACTGAATAACTCAGGACATGGCTATCAAACATCAAACACATCTGCCAGACTATCCCACCCCCTTTACATGGATGATCTGAAGCTGTATGGAAAAACATCATCTGAAATAGAATTGCTGCTCAACACTGTCTGTATATATAGCCAATATATTGCAATGGAGTTTGGCTTGGACAAATGTGCCACACTTACTATCAACCAAGGAAAAATAGTGAAAACTGAAGGAATCAAGATGCCCCATGAAAATAACATTAAGGGTCTGGATGAGGAAGATTACTACAAATACTTGGGTATCCTTCAAGCTGACAACATCAAGCACATTGAAGTCAAGAAAAAGATTAGAGGTGAATACATCAAGAGAGTGAAGAAGATCTTAAAGTCCAAACTCAATGGAGGAAATACCATGAAGGCAATCAACATCTGGGCAATTCCAATCATTAGATACACAGCTGGAATAGTGGACTGGACTCAAGCAGAACTAAAAGCAATGGATAGGAAGACCAGAAAAATAATGACAATGAATCATGCCCTTCATCCATGCAGTGACATTGACAGACTTTATCTACCAAGGCAAATAG